GGGCCGCCCCGGCCCTGCGGGGCCGGCTGCGGCTGGGCTGTGGCAAGGGTGACAAAACCCCTTCCCCTCCCTGTTAGCCCCTCTCTGCCGTGACAAGGGACAGCCCCAAGCTGAAGGGCAGCGCTGCGAGCGAGGTCAGCTCCTCCAGCAGAGGGCTGCTCACCCCAGCACCCCATCCTGAGAGCACCCCATCCTGGTGCCCTCGCCTGCCTTGTATGGAGCGTCCTGGGCTGGGGAGGGACGGAGAGAGGGAGGTTGTGGGGTTTCCCTCCCCAGGGCAGGTTTTCCCGGCTTGCAGGACTTAAACCTACTCACAGGCTTAGTGAGCCGGAAATTTCCAGTTGCTGCAAATGCAAGAAGTGCCAAAGCAGAGGCTGAGAAGCAGTCGTCTTCTGCCGGTGAAGGGGGGTTGCTTGGCAATAGCTTTTGCCCTAAAGAAAGTTAAAGGAGGAAATCCAGCCGCTTAAGCATTTTGTTGTTATGGGTTTTGACAGCTGATTTTTTTTTTTCTTTTCTTAATAGCTTAGTCTCTCAGAGCCTGCTTCTCACTCCCCTCCCATCCCTCTGCTCTTTGGGAGCTGCAGCAGTTTCACAGGTGATTAGAAAATGAACCGATCTGCCCTCTCCAGATTTATTGTTATTAATATATGCTGGTTTCCCAGAGAGCAGGCTGAGAAACCGACACAGGGCATTTGCTCCTCTAAACCACCAGAAATGTGAAGGAGAAACCTGCTGGTCTCCATGGTTGTGGACCGTGGGGCTGGATATCTGGTGCAGGTTTCTCCTGTGGGTCTGACACTGCTTTGGGACCATCCCAGGACTTATTGCCCTGCTCCTGAGTGGGGGGGTTCCTGCAAAAATCCGCTGTCTTTGAGGTTTTGGGGAGAAGCAGGGTGCATGTGTGTTGTGACACCCATGGGCTGGTGTCACCCATGCCAGTGTTGGGTCCGGGCAGGGTGGTGTAGAAGGTGTGGGGCAGCTGTGCCCCCGCACACTGCGTCCCCGGCAGCGCCTCTGGGGCAGGCCCGGTTGCAGAGACGGGATCTTGTCTCTGTGCAGCTGGAAGCAGGAAATTGCTGCAGCTGATGCTGGGCAAATTTCTGTCTCTTTAATTAAAAGGTTTTTAATGACAGAGGAGGAGAGAGCAGCACAAGGCAAGTGATCACTGGAAGTGCTGGTTATTGCAGTCGTGGAGCCGGTTCTGCCGCCCTCATGTACCTGGAGTTACAGGGCCCAGCTGCTGCAGGGGACGGGATCCGTGGCCTGGGAGCCACGTCTTCCACGGTCCTTTGGGCTTCGGGAGATGGTGCTGTTCCCCAGGGATTTGCCTCTGCTCCTCTCCCCTGGGTGATATCACAGAGGGTGGCAGGGGGCTGGGGCAGGGGAGGGTGTCTCAAGTGCCCTGAGAAGCAGCAGCGAGAGTGGCGGTGGGCAGCCCCGGCTGCTGCTGGCTGGGAGCAGCCTGATGGGCTGGAAATGCAGCGTCAGACCCGGCTGCTAAATATAGTCCCCGGAGGTGATCAAAGAAGGCAGGGCCCCTGCACGCTCGTGCTTGCTCGCCTCCTCCTGTTTCCCCTCCTTGAGCTTTGAAGAGGAAAACCTCTCCTTCCCCCCGCTGTTTGGACTGTGCTGGAGGAGGCGACCCCTCTTGTGGTGGAGGTTTTAACTGGGAAGCAAAGGGGGACCTTTTTGGCCATGACGAGCTCAAAGGGCGCCAGCAAGGAGGGTGCGTGTGGGATGTCTGGGATGCCGGGGCAGCGCTGAGGTCCAGCTGGGGTCTGCCAGCCTCGGCAGCCCTCGCTTTTCTCCTCAGCTGCAGCTTTTTGAGAAAGAATAAAAAGTACATGTGCTGGGAGCCAGGAAGGTGATTTTGGGGTTCCTCTCCCAAAATGTGTGTTGATTGCCCTCTGCTCGCATAGCTTAGTGAAAGTGTTGGGACATTGTGGCCCCAGAGCACTTCGCAAAGCCCTGGGACTGGGCAAAGGAGAAACTGAGGCACGGGGCAGTTGTGCATCCTGAGCAGCTGCAAAGCCCCAGTTAGTGTCCATGTCCCATGTCCTGCTCCTGCTGTCAGCTGCCCCCAGGAGCAGTGAGAGCTGGGGACTGTGTCCCTCCTTGGTGCCGGTCCCCTCCTGGGAGAGAGCCACACTGGTGCTGGCCTGGGGGAGCTGATGTGTGCTTCTCCTTCCCCTCTGGAAGGACGGGTCAGCATCTGGCAGCTCTGCTCAGGGCAAAGTCCAGCTTGTTCAGCTTGGTGTGGGTCACTCGAGGAGATGGGTGCTGGATCGGGTGGAGAATGGAGTATGGCCCTGGGGGATACTGCAGCGAAAGTGTGTGCAGAGAAGGAGTTTAGTGCTCAGTTTTTCCTGTGGTAACCTGGAATCTTATCGCTAAAACGTGTTTTGTTTTTAGAAAACCTCATTTTTCCTTGAAGGTTTTTGAACACAAAAATGTGCTTCCAGCCCTCCAAATAACTTTGCTCCTGGGGTATACTGAACTGCTGTTCTCCCACAGGTGTGCTGAACCCTTGCCCTCTCCTTGCTATCAATGAGGCAATAGGTGCGAAGCTCATGCTTTGCTCCCAGGACGTGTAGGAGTTTTCTCCTTTCTCACCCTGCCGGGCAGGAGTTCCCAGCTGCAGTGGCCCCTCTCCCTTGCCCCCGCCAGCTGGGCTTCGTGGGACACCCCGTTCTCTGGGACAACTCCAACGGCACCTGCCTTTTGGGTTGTTTCTGCCTGTATTTTAGCTGTTTTATAGCACATGTGTTGTCCCTGTGGAGGTGCCAGTTTGGAAGAGCTGCTTGCTACCACTTCCGCTCAGCTTTCTTTTCATTTGTGTGAAACCCCAGGGTGCTCAAGCAATCTGCGGGAAATCAAAAAAGATGTGGCCGTTTTGGGGATTGGACCTGAACCGAGTCCGCTGTGACCTGCTCTTCACAGAAGCCATCAATCAAAGGATGCAGGTTCCCAACAGGCTGAAGGTAGCAGATAGCTTCAGCCCGGTGGATGAGGAGCCAGTGACAGAGGATGTCCCTCCTTCCTTTCGGATGCACATCCCTGATAGGATTTCTCTTGCAGGTAATGTCCTAGGTTGTCTTTTGGGGTGGCTAAAAGTTGGTGGGGCTCTAAAACATCCTAGGGAGTAGGATCCCTTTATAAAGTCCCCAGTGGTTTGCTTTTCAAGAGGAGGGGACAGGGTCAGATGTTGTAGTCAGCTTTCTTCTGGAAGGTAGGATGGTGGAGAGATGCTTGGGGAGAGGTGGGCAAAGGTGACCAACGGAAGGCAGGAGGGGTCTTAGTTCCAGAAGGTGAGGAGCAAAATGTGGAGACATCTCCCTGCATATCTCTTACAGTTCCCTCTTGGCCTTTGGTAGGCTCCCTGCTTTGAGATGCAGAGACATGTAGCCCTGTGTCTCTGAAAAACAGCTCCCAAACCTCACTTTCCTGGAGCAGTGTGTCTGGGCCTCTCCGGGCTGTCCTGCTGCTCACACCCGCAGGACGTGTTTTTTGATGTACGTCTGGTAACACTAGACACAGGGCTGGCTTTCCTACATGGTGAATCTCTCTTCTCTCCTGTCCTGGGCGCATTCAGGTTGGTTTAATTCTTCCCTCTCTCCTTTCTGTAGAAATATCAGATGCCAGTTTGAGGCCCATCCTGCTGCCAGCAAAGGAAGGTCCCCTCTGTTGTAGTGCCCATGTCCCCGGACTCCTCTGCGCAGCCCACCCGCCTCGGGGAGCTCCCTTTTCTGCACGTAGCCAGCAGACCAAGCTCCCAGAAACGCAAACGATCGGTACTGTACTAAGAGCGAATGGGGTTGTCTGTGGTGGGAAGGGGGAGCAATCCCAATGTTGGGTTTCTCCAGAGGTCTGTTATCAGCCCAAGCCAGAATTCATCTTCCAGAGTGCTACCTCCTCCTAGGAGGTCCTAGGAATCCTAGAAGCAAGGGTGTAGGGGTGGTGGGATCTCTTTCTGTCCCATAACGAGTACACACCTGTGTGCTAGGACATTGGTTTGGCCAGATATCCTACCGCATTTTGTTATAGGCTGAGGTAGGTGCAGTTCCCCCACAACCTCCTTCTGCTACTTTTGAAGTCCCTTTTCAACCACTGTTTCTCCTGGAGGAAGTATGAGATGGAGCTGTTTCATCATTGCAGCGTAAAGGGTTCTAGTGTCAGAGCTGAAAGCAGATTTTAACCTTGTGTGAAACTAATTCAAAGAGAGGCCCCTGACATGGGCAGGCAAAAGCTTGGTTTGCCTGCTGATCTGCCTTCTCAAGTGCTTTCACCTCCCTGAGATTCAAGAGCTGTTCCCAGATGCATTAGGTTCAGGATTTTTGATCCGAATGGAGATCAGATCAGTGGGCTCCTTGCTGGTGACCCTTGCTCTGCTCTGAGCATGTCTCCCTGCCCGCTCCAGCATCAGCTCACCACGTTTGGGGCTCATGTAACGCTCCCACCACCGAGTGCGTTCCCTGTGCTGATGGGCTCCTGGCCCTGCAGACCACGCAGGCCATGGGGCTGGACTCGCCCCGTGCAGGGTCTCTGCGCTAATGCGGTTGTGTTTGATGCCAACAGGGCCATCACAGCAGCAGGTCGCGGCGGGAGAGGACTCCAAGTGACTGTGCCCAGCTGGTCTTGCCCAGCCCGAGCCAGCACCATGAGCGGTGAGCACAAACCCAGAGCCATCTGGGGTGGGTGGGGATCAGCATCTCCTGTTGTCTGTGCTGCTTTGATGCTCTCTGGTGTCGGTGCCCCGAGGTGGGGGGGTATCTAGATCAGGGCAAGGCAGTGCCTGGTAAGTCCTACTCTCGCACGAGAGGAACATGGCTTCTGATGTCAGAGGGGTTTGTGCCAGGCAGTGTGGAAGGCAGCAGTGTTGGTCCCCAGCGTGATGAGGTCTCTGCTGAGATGCATGCGGGAGAGCACGTCCCCTCTTGCAGCAGGCTGGGAGTGCTGTCCAGCCTTGCCTGGCCATTGGGCCAGGAGGACCTCGCTGCCCGCTCTGGCTTGTCCCAGTCTCTCTGGCTCTCATCTTCCTCTCGGTGCTTTGCAACATGCTCTCCTGCTCCACCACCAGCATGGCAGAGTGCTGGGGACTATGGGCAGGTGACCACTGGCCAACAAGGCACCAGGGCTTAACCTGTTTCTACAAGGGTTGTTGAAACTTGGAGTGCCTTGCAGACAGGGTGGGCTAAGAGCACACTTGTTTTTCAGCTCTTTGAGTGTCACTTGTGAGCAGTAGCATGGTGATAGTGATCCTCTGCTCACGGCCTTGGGCTCCGGAGTCTCTCCAGTGGAGAAATTGTCTCTAACTTAATCCCAGAGCAGAGCCACCTTTCCCCCTAGAAGTCCAGGGTTGTCCTGGGTGGCAGGAGAGCTGCCTTCTGCAACCCCTGGGAGAGCAGCTGGTGAAGGTCTGGTTATCACACAGCCATGCTTGGCTTTGGAGGAGTCAGGCAACTGCCTCTGAGCCTGGAGGCTGCTGGAGGGGGCTCTCCCACCTGGTGATGTGGGGGTCTGGGTGCTGATGGCATTGCCCAGAGATGTTTGGAGCTGCTGAAGGGATGAAGGGCACTGCCAAACGCCAGGCTGTGCCCGTGCTGTACGAAGCCAGGAAATAACAGGCGTGATTCTGTGCGCACCCCAGGCCAGACGCGTGCCCCTTGCCCATGCGCAGTGCCCCGCTCCCCCTCCTTGCGGAGACGGGCAGGATCTACTCCATGCAGAACATCTTCCAGACCATGTACCTCTTGGGCCAGGTGCTCTTCCACCGTCTCCAGAACTCTCTGCAAGACCCAGTGCAATCCAGGTGACTTTGGCTCATCTTGAGCCACCTCCCTGTCACTCTGCAAGGACTTGCCTTTGCCTCGCTAAGGCATGAGCATGGCGCAGCCTGCACGGCTGCCCCAGACTCTCCTCCTCGCCTGTCCTGTCCGCCAGCTCCGGGTGCCTCGCCCAGGAGCACCGGGTGCAGCCAGCCTGGGTGCAGCCTGCTAACCCAGCCCAGCTTGTGTCTCCTGCTTAGCTTAACACCGGTCCCCCAGACACCCTGAGTGATTGAATGCCACCTGTGACATTGCTGGGATTTTAGCTGCCCTTTACTGCTAAACAAGTGCTAATTTTTCTGCATGCCTTGATATCTTGATGGAGAGAAATGTGTGAAGGGAATCAAAATCCAGAACAGATGGCCTGACCCAGGTCCTGTCCCCGAGACACCCTCCCTCCCAACACCCTTGGCTGTATCTTGGTCACTCTTAATTAACCTTTTCCACGAACTGGCTGCACCAAGTTACTCATCCCATAGCCAATGCCTCTGGCCAGGGTACAGTATGCCTGCGTGCTCACTGGAGCAGTTGTGCAATGACCTCAATCTCTCCAGATGTGCTGGAGCAACTGTCTCCACCACACTCTTTATCTCTGCAAGCGCGGTAAATTTAATGTGTTCAAAGACATCACTGCAGCCTTAAGGTGTCTCCACTGCTCTAAGGCTGCTGAGCACCCGGAGGAACATCTAAATACTTCTAATTCTCCTTGAGCAAAGCCTCCAGGCAGAAAGGGAGGAGAGTGAGCATCCATCATCGGTGCCATCAGTGGCACATCCTGCCTTCCCTCCCTAGCTGGTGTGGAGGTGCAGGGAGAAGAGCTGGCTTCTGCCTGTGGACAATGCCAAGTGATGTCCCTGCTTTTAACCACAGTTGACTGATGGTCTTCACGTTGCTTATTTTTTTTTTAACAAAGTCTGAGCATGCCAACAGATCTGGTTAGTGGCTACGTAAGACCTTCTCCCTCCTCCCGTCAGCAGTAGAGGAGGTTTAGGCCATGGTACTATGAGAGGTGGTAGCTTGCAGAGCTGCTGTAATGCAGTGGGGGGAGTCCCAGGCCTCTCCCCAGGTCTCGATCTCCCTTTGAAGCCAGCCACCTTGAAACGCCTCTTCTTGGTACTTCGCATCACTTCACATGCATACAGTATCTCTTTGATACGACAACTTTGTACCCTATGCAACAATAAAAATTGAAAAAAATGACTGAGCTGATTTGTTTGTCCTGAAATTTTAATAAAGAAAAGTCTGGTCTTGGACAGAGACTGGAATATTTACCTGACAGTGACCTCTTGAAGGGTATGAGTCATTGGAAGATAATTTCTAGTCTCTAAAGGGTGTTCACTTGTATCAACTGGGATTTTTCAGTCAAAAGTGGCAGGATGTGTCCCTTTTTAATGGCTCTGTGCTGGGGGAAATTGGATTTTCTTTCTGTTGTAACTTTCATTTTACACTGCAGCTACATTACGTGGAGGTATTATCTCACAAATGTATTTTCAGATAGAGATTCACTGAATCTCCGCATGCTGTTCTGGCTTGTCTTCAGTGAGATTAACATCATGTTGCAAACAGGAATAAATACCCTCCCCAAGGTCTCCGAAGGAGCGGTGTTAGACACTCGTTAACCTGTACGGTATCAGCAAGTGCCCGTGCGAGTTGTTGGTGTGCATAGGGGAGTTTTCATTATAGAAGAACTGATGTAGGGCTAGCCTATGATGATAGGAACAACAGACTGAATATGGCAGTTTTGATTTTTCTTACTGTGGATCTACTTTATTTTGTGGCTTTATTTTGTGGCTTGGTGCTGTAGGCCCTGCAGCAAGGCTGTGTCTCCAGGGGATGCCCTGGAGATCTGTGGTCTGTGTTGCCTCTGCCAGTGCAGCAGCTAATCCCAGTGGTAGCCCCTTTGTTTGCAGGGATGGAAGAAAGTGGTGCATGCTTGGGTGGCTTGTTTATGTTTCAAGTTGCAGGTAAAATTTGCCATAAGAGCAAAAAGCGATACTTTTTTTTGTTGGAGGGGTGGGGAAGGTGAGTTGTGGTATCTGGAGATACTGGAGAGGAACAAATCCTTGTCTCAGCAAACACAGGACCTTTTGCTGCTGCCTGATGCACTTGCTCAGATAGTTCCCCTCAGTCGATGGCTGCTTCCCACCAGCGGGATCCTCACCTGCTGATGTAAATGAGATCATCCCTCCATTTCGGCATTGGCCCTGTGATACGTGTTTGCCTGACTCGCTCTAAAGATGATTTATCCAACCCTCAGTGAATTCCTCTGACTATAGAGAATGGATGCTCGGTAAATATCATGTTTTGTCTCTGTTGGACCTCTAAAGAAATACAAGCATGCATTTTCCTTGTTGTCTGTCATAGCATGTGCTGTATGTTTTGTTGTGATCACTGCAGGGTGCATGGTGGAGGGGTATAGATATGCATGATGGGGGTTAAGAAGAGATGAGTAGATGCTGTGCAGGTGCTGTTTCCTCTCTCCTGATGCTGCATCCAGACAGCACATCCTGGGCACACACACGCTGCCTGCATGGCTCGGCTCTCCATGGCAGTGCCGCATGTGCGGGAAGGCAGTTGCGTCTCTTGAACAGTGTTTGTCCATCTGCATCTCTGTTTTTCTTCCCCAGCTCCCAGGAGGCTGGCCCAACCCCAGAGAGCACCTTGGAGGAGGTTGGGGCAGCTGAGATGGCAGCAATGAGAAATCAGGTGAGATGGGGATGAAGGGCTGCAAATGTTTCCTAGGAAAGCCATAGGAGGGTGGGTGAGGAGGTTCCAGGGGTCTGTTGCTCAGTCCTGATGGGCTGGCATTGCCAAGCTAGTCCCGGCTGATGCTGCTAATGCAGAAGCAGGGGAGGACTTACAAGTGTGTTGACCCATCAAGGTCCTACCCTGAAGGGCTGTAGGGCTACAGGAGACAGCCAGACCCCTCCGTCTGCTGGCAGTAAAGGCCTCAGATGCCCTTCTGATGGGAAGGACTTTTTCCTGAAGCTCAGGAGCTGAGGTACTGCTGCTAATTCTTCCACACAAAGATAGCTGCTGCTCTAGAAAAGGAGGATCTGAAGGAGACGGCAGCTCCCATCCCTCCGTCCCTTGCTGTCCCACGCCTCTGGGGTGTAGCCAGTGTCCTGCACTTTGCTGCAGGGCTGACAGCAGCCCCACTGCTTCCCTTGCAGTTGACGAGGATCTCGGGGAGGCTCCGCGTGCTGGAGGAGCAGTGCAATGCCTGGCGGCAGAAGGAGGCCCTGGTCTACTCCGTGCTGATCTCCGCCTGCCTCATCAACACGTGGCTCTGGCTGAGGAGATGATTTCCCATGCCCTGACCTGCCTTGCCCAACCCTGGCAGGGTGGGTGAGGGCAGGGAGAGAATCCTTGCTTGTGTACTTGCAAACAGTAAAACTATGTGTTTCTTCTTAACTTGACCTGCTTTTTGCACTGTAGGTCCTTGAGGACCTGTGTCCTTTAGGCCCCGATTACAATGAAGGTGCCATCCCTCTCCCATGCTCTGGCATCAGAGGTGGGTGAGGGAAACGATGAAGCTGGATGTTGTGCCACAGCAGCTGGAGACAGGTGTTAGGGAGAGGTGGGGTACAAGGAGTATGGCCTACAGGCATAGTCCAAGGCTGGGCTGTGGCTGCAAATGCTCTGTGTATGCTAGCAACCACCTTGTATGTTTGATGGGGTCAGTGCTTGTGTGGGAAGCTGCTGTGAAGAGCCCAGGTCTGATACCGGAGTGGTGGCTGTCCTGTGCAAAGCAATGGTGGCTGATACAGGAGGTGTCTGTCCTGCGCAAAGCAACGGGAGACCCTCTGGCCCTTGGGCTGTCTGCCAAAAGAAAATGCAAAACCAAGGCGTTGGGTGTTTGCGGACATGGGGTCCTGTTACAGTCTTAGACTGTGGTGGGCCCAATCTTCTGATCACGTCCCACCTTGGATAACTCAATTCTGAGCCCATAAAAGTCCTCAGCCAACTGCTGTGGTCTGTTCCTCACCTTCCACCCCAAAAGTTTATGTAGAGTGGTTGAGTGTTTTTAAACTGCTGGTGAGTTTTCTTTTCTTCCTTGCACAACTGCTCTTCGGTAGAGATAGTACTGCCAGTTCTCCTGTGCTGTAGCCCCTGCTGTAGGAGGTATGGAGCTGGAGGAGCCAAGAGCTCCCATCCCTGTAGCCACTGCTGTGCCACCATCTCCTTGGCTCCCGTCCTGCTGGAGGCAGTTCAGCAGCGGGTTTGCAAATGTTCAGATCCAAAAAGTGACTGTAAGAGCATTGCTGAGGTCTGGGCTTATCCAGGAGCTTGGCTTTTTCCCAGAGAGATTTAAATGGGAAACCTCCCCATGGTGACTCTCTGGATTATAAGACCTCGTACCAACGGTGATAGCACCAGACAGGCCATGGAAAATTGCCCATTTCGGCAGCAGCAGATATTTGTTAGGTTGCCAATGCCAGAGGGTAGGATTGCTCCCAGGTCTGCTGCCAAGGTGTAACTTCAGCAATGGTGCAAGAACACAGGTGAGGGGAATTCTTGGCCCAGATGCACTTTAGCTAAAAACAAGCCCAGTTCAACAGCTTTGCCATTTCTTTCCTTCTGTGGAGTTTAGTAACACTTGGATCTGAGGTGACTTTGAGACGCTTTCGATGGTTCATCCAAGCACATCGGCTGGAGTTGCGCTTGCAGGCTCTGGGGACAGGTTTTGGCATGGCCTAACAGGACGTCTCTGTTCTACCTATAAGCTGGATCTGCAGGTCATCCAGATGCCCCAGTAGCTTATTTACAGACATGAATGCTTGGGTGTTTTCTGCCTGCAACTGCATCAAGCATCTGTGACTGTAAATCTGGCAGCTGGACATTGACTAATAAATAACTGTCCCACAAGTAATCGCAGGTCTGAACCTGTGCCTGATAGCTGAGCTGAGGAGAGTACTGAGATTTATTGCAGATGAGAACCAGGGTAGTGTGGTGGGCTTGACGTGTCGTGCCATGGCCGGGTGTATGTAAGGGATGGGAGCACTGGTGCAGGGGTGGTTCTCATGGCTCGTGGCTCAGGGATGTGGTCAGGGTTACCAGGGGACCTTACAAAATGGGTCTGCATAAGGGGGCTGCCGCTGTGTGACTCGTGCCGGGAAAGCAGGTAAATCGTTTGGCTGGTTTCTCTTCTCCGAGAGGTGCAAACGTGTTTTGGATGAAGCTTGTGGTTTGTTTTTTTTTATGATGTATTTTAGGGTGAGAAGGGCTGACCTTTGAGGAACACACCACCTTCAAAGTGTGGATTGAAGATGTTTGGAGGAGAGATGATCAAACTGTATGTGTTCTCAAAGGCTAATTATTGGCAGGTTGCAGGGGATACAATATGGCTTTTACGTAAGGCATAAATCCTGGTATAAATCTGGAAACACTGACCTATAAAATGCATATTTTAATAAACTCCATGTGTTCTGGACATGTTTCTTCTACCAACCGTGGAGTCTGATTCTGGTATCCCAGTGGATGGGAACAGGTAAGGTTTATTCCCTTGGCAGCCAGACTTTGACCTGGTGCTGGATGTCTCAGCCACGCACACTTATTTAATTGGACACTTGATTTCTGACACCTCTAGACTACAGGCCGTTTGGCCTGCTGGTGTGAAACACGCATGCCAGCCACCCTGGCTGGGGGGCATCTGTAGGAGGAGAGTTTCTGGTTAATGCCATCCCTGTTGGGGTGCGATGCTTTTATTTGTTTCCTTTCTCTCTTCCCTGCCTCCTCCTCCTGACTCTTCTTTGTCCCAGGGCAGCACATGTGGCAGGGCCGGGTGTCTCCTAGGGTCACTGCCACAACAATGTGCATGGAAAATAAAGTGTCTTGTGCAATACAGTGCCCGAGGGAGCTGCGAGGGAGCAGCTTCTGGAGTTCCCGTGTTGCTGTTGAAGGCAGCTGCAGGCAGGGAGCAAGAGGAGAGGTGGAAGGGGGACACGTGCCGCTGCTCCTGGTCTGGAGCTACCCCAGTGCCAGGGTCTGTGGCGTGGGGACAAGAGCAGGGTGATGCATCCCTTGCTGCTGGGTGCTCACCCAGGCAGCACCCAGTGCTGCCAGCAGCCAAGGCTGCAAAAATTCCGTTTCTTCCTTCAGGTTCCATGCTGTCCAGGTTTTCAGTGAGATCAGAACACGTGGAATTTAAGACTTTGAAGGAAAAAAAAAAGGTAAAACTTTGACAGAGAAGGGACTCCCAGTGCTGGTGTTTTCAGATCAGCCCTGCACCTGGTGCAGGACTCCATGTGCACGGCAGGGACTGATCCAGCCTCAGCCACTGCAAGTGGCTAGATGCTGGAGGAAGGGGGTAAAAATTAACCTCTTCCTTATTGCCTTGGGGATGCAAATTTTTTGCTAACAGGTTATTAGAATGGCTTTGTGAACAAAATGTGAGGGCAGAAATTGGTGAAGGATGCATTTCATGATCATCTTCAAACTCTGCAGCTCTCTTTGCCGGGACTCCAGAGCAGCACATTTGGTCTCCTGCTGTGCGTGAGAAGAGGTAACTGGATGGGAGGGTGTTAAAATGTGGCTACTTCTGCAAATTTTCCATCTCAGCATTAGCTGTGGCACAGCCTGTGAAGCAGGGAAGTAGTCACCAGCTTTGTTTTTCCCTAGGGCAGAGGGCTGGGAGGGGAGCAGAAGCAGGCGGCCCATGAGGCAATCCCGGTACATCCCCTCGTGCGGCAGGACCAGAGCCCAGCTGGGGGTCTGCTGGCTGTGCCTGTCCCTGGGTGGGCAGTGATCCTTCCCCGAGGTTTGCTGGGGACTCAGGAGCCCCTGGACCCAGAGCTGCTCAGGACAGCTGCGATCTCCAGCTGGGCTCTGCCCTGAGAGATGTCTGGGGTCCCTCCAGCCACTGATGAGGTGGCAGAGGGAGAAGGGGATGCATGGACAGGGAAATGGAGCATCCCTGAGCAGCACGTTTCCCTCCTTCCCTTTCATCCCCCAGACAAACAGCTGGCTGCTATTAACTCCTCTGAAGTGCGCCTTTGCTGCTCAGGGCATTGAGGATGCTCAGGGGATGGGCGTGCTGTAGTGACGAGACTCACACATGTGTGTGTGCATCCCCTCTGCGCACTGCAGAGGCCCCTCTGCCACTGCCAGGGTGCTGGCCGGCCGCCTCGCCTGCATGCCTGCTTGGGCAGGGGAGAAGGGCAGGAGTGCAGACATCTCCGCTTGTGCTGGCTTTGCTTTGCAGCTCAACAGGTGTTTTAAAAGCCTGAGTGCTCCAGCGACCACCCGGGAGGCTCCCGGGGGAGGGAAGCTCCCCAGCCACCCCTGCTAGCCCACGTTAGGCAGCAGCCAAGTGTTGAAGGCTTCGGGGGACTCCATGCTCGTAAGTGGACAGTGGTGGCTTCTCGGCAGCGGCTCCGCTGCCCTGGGGATGTGGCTTGCCTGGGCATGCACGACTGTCCCTGTGCGTGCAGCATGGATGTAGTCTTTGCGCATGTTGGTAGAGGTGTACAAGGCATTGCCTTCCCCCAAGCAGAGCCTCGGCTGTGGGCTGCACCATGTGAGAGAGCACAAGTGTGTTGTCTCCAGGAACTTGCCTCATCTGTGCATTGCGGGTATGGAGGGCATACTGTGCCCCGGGGGGAGCAGGCAGAGCGGCCAGGGTGGGAATACGTGGGCTAGGTAGGGCTGGGCAATGCCTGTGTGCCTTTGCGTCCATGCGTGTGCAAATCTGTGTTTCTGTGAGGTGCTTTTGCATGGTGTGGTCTATGCTAGGGTGCAGCAGAACAGTGAGGGCTGCGTGTGATGTTGGGGCTGGGCAAGCCCCATGGACATCTCTTGCTTTTTGCATAAACAAACTCTGGTGAAATCCCACACCTAACAGCTCCACAGTAGCCTCCGTGTATTAATGTAGGGTCTTCTCTGCTGCTTTCTGAAACCAGATGGTAGCTCCTGCCAGCAGGAACCTCAGCAAGGCTGTTTTGAAATAGCAAACCTTAATTTCCAAAGCAGGGGAGATTTCTGTGGTGACGAGAGGTGGGGCTCACTGGGCAGACCACCAGCAGGTTGCAGTGCCCTGGGGAAGGAGGCCAGTTGCTCTGGTGCAAACACCCTTGTACATGCAAAGTCTACCCCATGCTGCTGCACCACAGCATCTCCCCACCAGGGCTGGCCTTGTGCTTACATCTCTTAGGAGTCTATTTTCTTGTCCTTGGGCAGGCAGTGGTGCTGAGAGCCGTGGGCTCGTTGTTATGGCACGGCTCGCTGGGGATGCTGTTGCCCCGGCAATGGCTGAGGAGCCTGAACGACGACGAGAGCATCTTTCATGGGCCACAGGCAGATGTGG